ACACAAGTGTTACTACATTTGAAACTCAGATGAAAGATGATGTCACTGAGGGCAAGTAAGGCATGGGTGTAACACTGTAAATAGGAGTGTAATCACGGTTGCAGGGAGCACTTATATGTCTTTCCTGTGGAACATGTATTGGGAATGCAGCACATAATGTAAAAGCTCTCATCTAAATCTCTCTGGAAATTGCCATCTGAAGCAAGGAGAGGGGCTCTGGTGCCCAGTTGTAACAGCTGTGCTTCCCCCAGTGTGTCAGAATGAGTGAGCACAGCACTCAGCTACAGCAGGCAGGGCAGCCCAGGAGCCACATTGGTGTGGTTGGCTCCCATGCTAATGCCTCCTAACAAAATTGCTTGAGAACAACTGCTGTGCTGCCTCTCCTTAATGCAGACATACCTAAATATAACCCACAGCTTATTTTCGTAGGAACAAGTATTGGCAGGTCCTGAACTGCAGATGGGAACGTTTGATAGCTCTCAGGTGCAGTGCCAGCCCATGGCTGTGGTTCCTGTGTCTCCTTGCTTATGCCAAGAGGCATTAATAAGGTCTTAACTGCAAATGCTGGATAGATTTGGGTGTTTGAAGGGGAGTAACTTGCAGGGAGGGCTCAGATTTCAGGTTTGTCATGTAGTGTGGCCTACTGGGGTGCCCATAAGGTAGGAAGGATTGAAGTCATTCATATGAAGCAGAATTTATAGTGTGCCTTCTCAAGAAGTATCTCTGGAGATCCTGATATTACTTTTCTTCTCTTATTGAATAATGAATTCTCCCTCGATCTAGTCTCTTTGGGAAAAGCAAACTGCATGTAATAGTCTATGCAGTGTCTTCTCAACGATATTTTTTCACAATATCCTATATTTAAAACAGGATAATTTCCATTCTTCATTTGCTCAGACAGAGGTAAAACTTCCACTTCTGCCTTTTAGGTAATCTTTCTCCACATTTCTTCTCTGCCTGAGTACATCTATTCATTCATTTTTAACTATCTGTTCTGACTGCAGATCAGCTCTTTTTAAAATTGCCGAATACACCTTAACTACACAAAATATTGTTCCTGCATGTATTTCTTTCACATAAAGAAGAATGTGTTCCAAGCAGCAATTCTACATCAGTAAAGTTGGTTTATCCCTTTACTGCAAAACCATTAAAAAAAAAAAAATAAAAGTCATGGCTTCTCTGGCATGAAATTTCTGAAGTTACTTCAGTTTAAGTTGCTAGATTGCAACTAGAGACCTGAAACGGGCACATATATACACTTAGTAGACCTTTTTGGAAACCGGGAAAGAGTAGCAACTGCTGAGAGAAAAGCCAGGAAGAAAACTGGAATAGTGACCATTTATTCCAGCCACCTCAATTTTGCCACCAACAAATGTGAATGCAGACTCTGTGAAGCCACAAATGTGAATATTTACATTTCCTTTAGTAAAGACTACTGAAATAAATGTGTTCAAAATAACAAGAATAAGCAAAAAGGAATTTTTCATTTTGCTGACATGTCATGGACTATGCTTTTCCTCTGTCTATATGCAATGAAGTCTCTAGGCAACTGCTAAATTTCATATCTTCCCAGCAATTCCTACCTTATTATACTATGCAGTCAAATCAGTGGAAAGGTTAATTCATAGGTGTACATTTACAGGGTAAAGGCTTCAGGATGTTTTACTTTCATTTGGCAATTTCTGAAGATATATCTGCAATACCCACATCCACTCCATTTAAGCCCTGTATCCTTGTGTTACACAGTATTTCAAAACAAGATCTTGAAGTCACATTTTGATTAGTTCTTATCTCAATTATTTTCCTCTGAAAGCATTACAGAGCTCAGGCACAGTTTTACTGCAACTTTTTTATGGTATTTTATTATTACGGGGTGGAGGTCACAAATTTTTCCCTTCATTGCATTTATTTATAATTTCACATTCCCTGAAACACAATTTTGCAGCAAGCTAATCTCTCATCTTATATACATCTTAATTTTTTAAAAATAGCCATTGTAAATTAAACCATGAAACAGAAGTAGAATTTCCCTTAAACTATCTATTCATACACTCTGAATTTATGGTTGCTAATATGTACTTAAATACTGTATTCACATTATATGTTATATCAGGTAACACGAAAAGGCCTGGCTGTAGTGCAGTCTTTGTGATTCTTAAACAACTACAAAAGGCAATGAATAATACAGCTTTTTTCATAAGCAGTTACAAACTAATGAAATATTAATCCAGAGCTCTGTTCTGTTCAGCATATTACACCATCTTCCACGAGATATCAGTATTGATTGACTCCTTCCTGGTTCTTTAGGAATGACCTATGGCCTACCTCTCCCCTTGTTAAAACTCAGGTTATCACAAAGTGCTCTAGTTCCTGCCATAAAATTATTTCCTTATTTCAGTGATTTCTGTAAAATGCACAAGTAAAAATTAGGTGGGTTTTATTTAGAGTGAGAAGAGGATTCGGAATTCAGAGGCTTTAGCTAAACCTTTGTGTAGCCATATTCAGTGAGACACATAAAGAAATCCAAACAGCAACATGGTTTAAAATTCAACTGCTTTTAGAGAAAATATTAAAATATAATATTCTTTGGGAATGAAGAGCATGATTACTAAACTGCAATGCTAGTCCTTGCAAATCTTAAATTACTGTAGACAGAGATTATTTCCATAAACAAGAGAAGTTGAGGAGATTGCTTTCTTTCACAAAGCTGCAGTTTTATAACATAAGGTTTAAAATGACTATATACTTCAAAATAAAATGGAACAAGATAAGCGAATAGCTTGATTTACTCAGTAATTGGTAGAAAAATTCGTATGGAAAACAAAGAAAAAGAAAACAGCCCACATAGGGCAGCAGAGCAACTTTCCCTCCCTTGTACTGAAATTCCAGGAAGACAAAATAAACCAACTGTATGTTCAGAAATCTTCAGATAATAACAAATTGCTTATGTTTCTATAAAAAGTGGAATAGGAGGTTGTACGAGACATTATTTCACTAGACTTTAGCGTTTTAGTAGGTAAAACACATGGTCAAAGGAACCGGTTCTTAATCCATATTCAGAGCTGAAAAAGGAGTTTGTGTTACTTCCTCCTCTTCAAAATCAATTTAAACTGTCAAAATAGCTTCAAATCGTCAGATTTCAACTTTGTCCCCAAGAAAAGCCTCTAAAGAATAAGACTGAGTTGTTGCCGTAACATTTATGTCAAAAGGAAATTTTTAATTTGCAAGGAAAAACAAAAGTTTCTCCCTTCAGAGGTCTCACCAGCAGCAGCACACGGGATTTATCGCCTCTCCTTTAACTCAAATCGCGTGTTTGCTGCAGGAAACTCTCCCGAACGCAAGTACCTGCTCTTCTCCCCCCTCACCGGGGAAATTGGGCGATTTGGTTGTAGAAATTCCGAGGAAAATACACTTTTGTTAGTCCAAAGAAACACAAATCGAGCACACCGAAGGGCTCCCCGGCCGTGCAGCGGGGCGGGCTCTGCAAGCCACCAATCACCGCGCGGCTCCGCTCTAAAAATACGAGCATCTGACCCGGGCCAGCCCAATTGTGTTCGCCTGCTCCGCAGAGGAAGTCGCCGCGATGTCCGAGACCGCTCCCACCGCCGCCCCCGATGCGCCCGCGCCCGGCGCCAAGGCCGCCGCCAAGAAGCCGAAGAAGGCGGCGAGCGGCTCCAAAGCCCGCAAGCCCGCGGGGCCCAGCGTCACCGAGCTCATCACCAAGGCCGTGTCCGCCTCCAAGGAGCGCAAGGGGCTCTCCCTCGCCGCGCTCAAGAAGGCGCTGGCCGCCGGCGGCTACGATGTGGAGAAGAACAACAGCCGCATCAAGCTGGGGCTCAAGAGCCTCGTCAGCAAGGGCACCCTGGTGCAGACCAAGGGCACCGGCGCCTCCGGCTCCTTCCGCCTCAACAAGAAGCCCGGAGAAGTAAAAGAGAAAGCCCCGAAGAAAAGGGCGCCTGCAGCTAAGCCCAAGAAGCCGGCGGCTAAGAAGCCGGCCAGCGCTGCCAAGAAGCCCAAGAAGGCGGCAGCGGTGAAGAAGAGCCCCAAGAAGGCGAAGAAGCCGGCGGCCGCAGCGGCCAAGAAAGCAGCGAAGAGCCCCAAAAAAGCCGCAAAGGCAGGCCGCCCCAAAAAGGCAGCGAAGAGCCCGGCTAAAGCAAAAGCGGTGAAGCCCAAAGCAGCCAAGCCTAAAGCAGCCAAACCCAAAGCGGCCAAGGCAAAGAAGGCGGCGCCCAAGAAGAAGTAAATTGTACCAGAAGAGTTTTGTTCTACATATTTTGTTATCCAACGGCTCTTTTAAGAGCCACCCACACTTTCCCTAAAGGAGCTGATGCACGAAGGTCGTCCGTAGCCTGCCGCAGGGGTCCAGCAATTCGTAAGTCGTCAAGAGGTCAATTGTGTCTTGTGTTTTTTGTTCCCTAGGATTACTGAAAGATATACTAAAGAGCGCGGTAGAACGCGGCGGCTTTAGGGAAGTGTATAGACTTTTGTTTTTTCTCCGAGTGATTACTTTGACTACCAAGAAACAATGATTTGATAAAAAATGGGATGTATGTTTTTTTAAAAAGATATATTTTGTAACGAAATAATGCAATTGCCAGGCACGCTACTACTGAGCCATGTCTAATCTTTTGAATTTTTTCTCTTAAAAGTATCTCCGTAAATGCCTTTGTCTGTTCGGGGGGAGGAGGGTAGTGTTTCTTTACGGACACAAAGATAGCCCTGATCTCTCGTAATCCTTTTGTTCCCGATGAGAAAGGAAGAGCTTTAAGTATTGAAAAAGCCCGCCCTGCCCAAGGATTGGCCAGAGGAAATCCCGGCGCGCTGCCATTATCCCTCCCTTCCCCGCAGACGATTACGCCTCTATCTCTGGAACTGTATCAGCCACTCGGAGAAGAGGTGGAAAAGGGGGGGAGGGACAGAAACTCTCAACGAAATAGTGTCCGTATGTTCTCCGACAGAAGAACTGAACGAAAATTATCCCATACCGTGAAGAACTTGCATGGGGAGAAGGGCGTTTTGGCAAGACTTTGTTAATAATATGGAATACATTGCTACCATATCCACCCAAAAATAAAGACAAGTTAAAACACGGGTTGAGTAGTTAATACTAAATGGCCTTCACTGTTGTTCGGATAACTCAGCTCTCTTAGGACCTTGTGGGTGGCTCTGAAAAGAGCCTTTGGGTTTTTCCAGAGAAGAAACGTGCCACTTATTTGTTCAGGTTCACTTGGTCTTAGCCTTGTGGCTGTCGGTCTTCTTGGGCAGCAGCACGGCCTGGATGTTGGGCAGCACGCCGCCCTGCGCGATCGTCACCTTGCCCAGCAGCTTGTTGAGCTCCTCGTCGTTGCGGATGGCGAGCTGCAGGTGGCGGGGGATGATGCGCGTCTTCTTGTTGTCGCGGGCCGCGTTGCCCGCCAGCTCCAGGATCTCGGCCGTCAGGTACTCGAGCACGGCCGCCAGGTACACCGGGGCGCCGGCGCCCACGCGCTCCGCGTAGTTGCCCTTGCGCAGCAGGCGGTGCACGCGGCCCACGGGGAACTGCAGCCCGGCCCGCGACGAGCGCGACTTGGCCTTGGCGCGCGCCTTCCCGCCCTGCTTCCCGCGGCCGGACATCTTCCCTCGCTCGCTCCCCTCGGACACGAACACGCCGCGCAGCAGAACAGGCTCTCAGCGCTCCCCAGCGCTGCTCTCACTTTACTACCTCGTCCCTTCCCTGATAGGCTGAGAAGTAGGTCTTGCACAAGCAGCCAATGAGAAGGTGAATCCAATTCTGACCAATCAGATGCGTCTAAGGTAAGTGATTACATCATTTTTGTTTTGACCAATGAGAACGCGCAAAGCCAATGCCACTTATTTGCATAGAGGAACTATAAATACGTGGCACGCAGACGCGCTTCTCACTTCGCTCCCGGGCTAATCCCAGATCGGTTCCGTGGTGTGAGCAGATCAGCCGTGGTCGTGATGCCTGAGCCGGCCAAATCCGCTCCCGCGCCCAAGAAGGGCTCCAAGAAGGCGGTGACCAAGACGCAGAAGAAAGGCGACAAGAAGCGCAAGAAGAGCCGCAAGGAGAGCTACTCCATCTACGTGTACAAGGTGCTGAAGCAGGTGCACCCCGACACGGGCATCTCGTCCAAGGCCATGGGCATCATGAACTCCTTCGTCAACGACATCTTCGAGCGCATCGCCGGCGAGGCGTCGCGCCTGGCGCACTACAACAAGCGCTCCACCATCACGTCGCGGGAGATCCAGACGGCCGTGCGGCTGCTGCTGCCCGGCGAGCTGGCCAAGCACGCCGTGTCCGAGGGCACCAAGGCTGTCACCAAGTACACCAGCTCCAAGTAAATACCTGCTGAACATACCGCTTAACCCAAAGGCTCTTTTAAGAGCCAGCCACTTTTTCATTAAAAGAGCTGTACAATCAAGTAAGAATCAACACTTTATAGTTTACTTTTATGGTACCTTTCTTAAGAGTTTTTGGTTTTGTTTTGGGTTTTTTTGCGTGTTGGGTTTTTCTGTTGGGTTTTATATCAGTTTTTAGTTTTGCATATTAAAAAGTTACTTTGAGGAAATATTGCTCTCCATTTTACTGCATTGGTAAACATTAACTAATTGAAATTGATCCGCAAAGACTGCTTTAAGTGGCTGGCGGTGTTAAGGTTTTTTTTTTAGGTGATGCTTTTCTTAATTTATGGTTTATGTAATTTTCAATATCGTGTTATATGTAAGCAAAACCTTACTATTGTAAGTTTTCATGTTATGTATGTTGCAAACTGAATGATAGAAATATTTCTGGATTTTTCTAGTCAAGAGAGAACCGAAATTATTAATGGATACTTATCCATGTACAGCGTTGCTATAATAAGATTTACCACTTGATGGTGCTCAGTCACGGGTTATTTTTGTTGCAGAAGTGAGAATTTATGTTGCCGACAAATGACTTTTACCTTAAGCTCTTGCAAATAGGCCAGCGATTAATAGAACTCAGAAGTACTTTCCAAAATCTCCTTTATCTTCACTATTTGTCTTTATAATTCTGCTGTTGATGTGTTTTTTTTTTTTTTTTTTTTTTTTTTTTTTTTTTTTGCCTAGCTTCTGCCCTTGACTGCTTTAGGTTCTTGCAAGTAAGAAAACAGGTGAAGATTTTTTATTTTTTTTTTACTTATCTGACCTTTTCTGCATTTATCTGTCACTAATCGTAATAAAACTATTAAGTACTAAGAATCTAGACCCTCTGGACTGACTTGTTCAGCTACCAGACTTTATCAGGTAGCCACTAATTAGGCTCTAACTACTGGCTCTTTGAGTTGCTCTTTCCCATTCTTGGATAATTACATCCCACTATAGATGCAGATCAAAGTCATTATAACTTTCAAACTGAATCTGAAGAATCCTAAATTTCAAGTAAATACTGTGAACTTCTGAACATACTTAATTCATACAAGGACCACAGAATGACAAAAGTGAACTTTCTAGTATTCCCTTGCATATTCTTTATTAGTACAGGTTGTGAGACAGGTACCAGGTGTCTCAAAAAATCTGTCACTTATTCCCTAATAAATGTTAATTTCAGCTTAAAGGGTTTTGGAGACTTCTCAGATTGGATTTACGATCTCCAGTGAGAAGAGGCATTCTCCAAACTTTTTTTTTTCAGCTTGAAAAGGTGTTTTGCTATCTCTGAGTGCTTTAGTGTTAACTCTGAAACATAGGTTGCTTATTCTGCATGCCTGTATATGTCTAGTACCTTAAAAGATTAATGATCCATTGTATATTCCAGTCTCTAGGCTTTTTCAGGTTTTCCTGGGTCACTAGAAAAGCACAAAGAAGTGATCAGATTTTGAAAGTTGAAGATGGTCACCAGAATTTGTCAGTGGCTATTCTGTATAATCAGTCATGTAAAAATACCCCAGTTCAAACTACAGCTATCATGGGAAAGCCCTGCTGCCTGATTTAAAGTAGGAGCTCAGTGAAGCTTTTTGGCCTCCGATCTCGTAAGTGTTCATTTTGCCTTTCCTGTGTTTGTGTGCTCCATGTTGCACACTTCTTCGGGGATCGTCACAGAAATTCAGAGGATTTTAATAGATTGTTTCTAGGCCTATGAAACTCTGTTAAACAGGGAACAAAATGTTGCTTATTGCTTCTTCCAATTTCAGTAAGAAGGATAAGGCAGTATTAGGGGGCTATAATGTGAACTTAGCATTTGACATTAGATCTGATTGTGACATAAATCTCATTTTTCTAACAGTGCTGAGAACGAATTCTATGAACTGACAAAGAAGTACTACCATAGAAAACTTCTGGAACTTGTTTTTTTCACCAGAGGTAAAAGTAGTAGGATTTAAGCTCAGCAAAAATAACAAATCTTAAAAATTTCATGCCACAATAGGATGAACATTCAAAACCACTAATGCAAATAGTGTGAGTATAAAATCATATGACAGCTTATTCTTCTATAATTCATGTTCTTTACTGTTCTGTCCTATTTATTTCAGAGCAGTCCTCTTTGTAGTCTTAAAGACACCCTAGGGAGATGACATCACCCAGCACCAGTAAGAGGGCATGGTGTTCAAATACATCATCCTGGTACAGAAAGTATTATTATTCCTGCTGCCACCAAGCCAGGAAGGAATTAAGCAGGTGTCCCCTTAGCAATTTCCCTGTCCTAGGTTCCTCTTTGAAGATGAGTTTCCAATTTACTGAGTAAATAGTTTCTTTATCCATTGTGCAGAGCAGGTAGAGCCTCCTACACCAGATTGCCACCCAAATTCCATCTGTGCCACCCACTAGCCAACCCCCAAATCCAATAATTTAATTCCCTTAAAGTCATTGATTTTTTTTTGGGTCACTGGGCTGGCCTCCTTCTGAAGTTACTCCTTTTTGGGAATGGTTCCTTGATCCATTTTCATTCTGCTCCTGTCTTGCCAGGTTCAGCTTGTTCTGTGTTTGTGACATTATTTTTATCAAAGTGTTTATACTCTCATCAGCTCATCTGCCCTAGGGATCCAACTTGTTGATCTTCCAGTGTAAAACAAAGTTATAAATCCCAACAATTCTCAAAATTGAGAAGTATTTGAATGCATAATCTATAAACAGGCCCTTTGTGTTGTCTTTTAATCTACCCTCCACGTTTACCTTTAAAATACCTCTTGATTCACAGCATTTGAAATATGGGGAATATTTTGTTATTGGTAACACAAACATTCTTGTCAATTTTTTTTTTTTTAATATCAGCAACTTTTTGTATCTCAAATGATCAGTGTGACATTACAGTTTAGTCTTGTAGTAAATAACCAGCAGAAAAAAAGAATACTGAAGATCAATACAATCAGTTACAAAAAACTCCCCTGATATATTTTTACTAGAATAATGAAGTTAATATCACTCCTGGATAATGTGTACTTTCTCTAGATGACCATCCTTACAGTCAAATTTATGTTTTTTCATCACCATGTTTAAAAAAGAAAACACTTTTTTTTATTTCTGCAAAAGTCAAATATACCAGCTAGGCAAAAAAAATTCTGTATTCTTTAGTTAACTGACTGAACAGTAAATCAGAAATGAGAAATAGACGCTATACACCTGGACCAAAACCTGAACAAATCACAGACACTATGTAGCATTTTTTTGCAACTTCCTGGGTTTCTTGGAAAAACAAACAAACAAAAACCAAACCAAACAAACAAAAAAACTACAACAATTTGTGGGGTGTTTTAGAGGGTTTTTAGTTTTGGTGGGGATCTTCTCGTTTGTGGTTTTGTTTTTTTTTTTCTTTTTTTTTTATGTTTGTTTTGCTTTTCTTAATGAAGTAATGCAATATCTGCTCTCAAACCCGATTTTTTTTTTTAATGGCCACAGAACATAATTACCTGACACTCAAGACAAATTATTGCAAGGTTAGTTTCCTGGAGGCTTTTGTTCCTATTTTAAATAGAAAATATTTTATTTTAAACTAATGACGGTTGCAGGACAAAGTATTGACTGCAGCTAGGAAAAATATTTGTTTTTACACAAACCTTGATGGAATGTTTTTGGCTAGTGATGAAAATGGTTAGATGTGATGGTTAGATGGTAAATTTAAAAATTGAGACTTCAGGTTCCAAAAACCTGGTCTAAGGGTTGTGCCATTCAGAGAATAGCACAGCTTAAGACATGACACAAATTTTACTGTAGGGGAGAGGGCTGAAAGTAGAGGGGAATGCAGCTGCAAAATTCTCCTTTTCCAACTCACACACCTATGAGGGAGGAAGAATCATTACAATGAGAAGAGGCAGCTCCTTCCTCAAGGACTGGGGTCACAGAACCAGAGGCCTATTTAGGTGGAAAGAGTGGTTTTGGTTAGATTTCTTTCATAGCTACTAAGAACTAAATTATTTGACTGCAGTCCTATCAAAGTGGTTGTTCCAAAAACATTCCTTGTCAAAAAAGATAGAAGGTATTAATCAAAAAAATTAATCCTTTTATTTTTTAGCAGTGAACATCTCAGGAAGCAATTCTGAACATAATTCACTTTACACCTAGAAAATAAGTAGATTGAAAAGAGTTACAGAACAGATCAAAATTTTCATCCCATGTAAAATCCACAAACTTTTTATACTTGTATTCCTACTTATATTGCACGTAGATTTTTTTTTTTTTTTTTTTACTTGCAAAGGTCATAGGAAAATTGAAGAAATAATTCTTGAAATAAGAAGAAAGCATACATCATGTGTTATGTCTGAAATCTGAACTTCAAACAGATGAAAGGATATTGTCCTCCTTTTGTGCAGTATCAGAGCTGTGAAAAAATGCACCCATATCTGGTTTGCATCCTCTTTTCCTTTTCTTCCTAGCAAATAGCAGCTACTGCAACAATAAACAATCTGAACACTCCACATGAGCAAATTTCGGGGGTTTTTTTCTTATGCTCTTGGGACACAGCAAGGTAAAGTACCTTCAGTCATTCCACATAGAAAAGAGGATAAAAATTACCATAGGAATGGCATAGCCCCAGTCTTCCAACACATAAAAATAAATCTTTAAATAGAGCTGCATCCGCCTGTGCTGCAAGCATCAGCAGACTGGACAGATTGCATCACAGGCACACCTGGGTGCCTGGACTCAGCTGAGCTGGCTCAGGAAACCAAATTTATCTGGGTCTGTTCCACTCTCTGCATGAAGGGGCTTTTGAAATTGCTGCTACAAACCCCATTGAAGAAATGAAATGGTCACATTTCCCAGGCACATGTAGCTGCTGCAGTTTTAGCCTTAATTGATACTTATATGTCGTGCAAAAGCTCAGAGGATGCATACGTGTAGAACTTCAGACTTAACATAGCAGCTCACATTTCTCAGCAGGAAATGACATGGTATAAAAAACAGGGGGAAACACCAGGAAACTGGAATAGAGCTGGGATTAATTTACAGCATTTATCTGAACTGAATAATGTCTACTT